ATCCCTCCAAAGACGTACCTGCAGCCACGTTTGGACGAAGCACGGAATTCCCATCTCTGGGATATGAAGTGTACCTTGCTCCGCATGCTGGGCAGCTCAGTACCGCGTGTATGCTTCACCTCAGTCGAATGCAGTGGCTCGAAAAGCAGTGTGGGTGTGCCAGACAACCTTGAGTGCAGTCTAACACACGAGCTGCGTTAACGAGCGTTTTCAGTGGTTGAAAAGGCCGTAGCAAAAAACATGGTACAGCTCACACAGTAGTTGATAACTGCGCTTTATGTGTTCACTTCAAAAACTCCAGGACAGTGTAGCGCTCGTCCTTAGTTTCACAGTGTCGCAAGAAGTTGCACTGCCCAACGGGAGGGCAGTCAGGGTTGGTCGTACAATGATTTCTTCACGTGTACGCCCATATTTCAGTCACCATTTTTTCGGATTAATCAAATTCTGGTTTCTTTTCTGCACAATCTAAGAAAACAATATTTATTTTTCGAAACAATGTGTGATTTTTATCGCCGAGTCCCGTCCTCGAAGAAGACGCCGCCGTCAGCCGAACAGTACTTGGGACAAATACCTCTTTCTCCTGGACTTCCGTCTCCTCCAGGTGGACCAGGCTCTCCGTCCTCGCCGTCCTTTCCTGGTTTGCCTGGTATGCCGTCTGGACCTTTCTCGCCATCTGGGCCGTTTTGTCCATCTGGTCCCGGTGGTCCTGTCGGTCCCATCGGTCCCGGTGCTCCAGGTGGTCCAGCCTCGCCACTCGCACCAGGCTGTGGTTCGCCGTTTGCTCCTGGCTCGCCAGGTTCACCCATCGCTCCTGGACTACCCATTTGCCCTGGAGGTCCTTGCATTCCTTTCATTCCTTGAGGTCCTTGTTCACCGTCGGGACCCTTCTCACCAGGCGGTCCGAGTGGTCCAGCATTACCCATGGGTCCTGGCTGACCAGGTGGTCCAGGTGGTCCAGCTGGGCACGGCTCGCATGGTGGTGGTGTTATTGGCTCGCATGGTTCCTGGGGAGGGCGTCCAGGATTTCCTGGCGCTCCTGGAGTGCCTGCTTTTCCAGGTTTGCCGGGCGCACCAGGCGGACCAGGTGGTCCAGGTTGTCCAGGGATACAACAGCCGCTACAAAAGTTGGGATCTTCTGGGTTGGGTTGACGCTTCGTTCGGTTTTGCGGTAGATCCGGAAGGCCGTTCACGTTTCTTAAAAGGATTGCTGGCTGTTGTGCGGCATTCGAGAAGTTCGTGATGGACGCTGACACGGACGCTATGAACATAGTTGTAGACCATGGGAAGAGTGATACAGACCGAGAGCACGGCAATGGCCGAGAACGTCATCGCGGCATAGCCGACGAAGCGATAGGCCTGAAATGGATGGGAGAGTCGGAGAAGTAATTTGGAGGGTTTGAAAAGGAAAACTCACTGTAATCTTCGAGTCGTAGTCCATGGCAGCCACAGGTAATCACTTCAATTGCATCGTATTTATAGCGACCTGTGATGAGGACCGGTTCGTTTTCGTTGGTTATCTTTTTTCTCGACAGCTTCACCTTTCGTAAGCCTTCGCATGGTTTCACCTTTTCCGTTTCATCGTAAACACTTCAAAGTAAAAACCAACGGTTCCGCTTCCTCAAGCAGATTGTTCGTGGTTTTTGCAGGTAACCAGGGCCACCCAGGAGACGTCCCCTCCAACTACCATTTTTGTACAACGACCTGCTTACGTTTAATGATTATTACAAAGCCTTTATGAATAAGTTTTTGCTTCAGCAAAATTTTTCTCCATTGAACTGTTTTGCATTCGTAGTTTAAACAAAGCTATAGAGCCAGCCAGGAAAAAACCCAGTCGTCACGCAGGAAATCAAACTTTTGCATGGGTTTTCAATGAATTTCATCACTTGAACTGTGCACTGCTTTTTCTTTTATTCACTACACGAGGAAGAAGTGAACGGAGTGGAACGCAATGAAAGAGAAGCCACAAGAGACGTTCTTAGATGAGTGAAAGGGTAAGGAAAAATAAACTCACTCATTCCTGCATTTTTGAGAGGGAAATGGAAAATAAAATTATCTACTTGCATGCAAAGAACTCCTCAATCAAATGCGGAAACAACGTTATCTGAATAAAAGCGTCTTTGGAATTGGCTCACTGAACCTGGACCTTATCCCCATCGGGCTTATGAAGTCCTCATCATCGGTAAGTGAGTGCCATTTTACTCGAATAATCATTCGGATATCCTCTGGGTTCTACTCGCATCTAGGGTATTGACCACGGAAATTTGGCATCTTTCACTTGCGATCATATGCGGTCGAATTTTCAACTGAATCTCACAATTGTCAGAGATCCACCGGACGTTCTATTTATTCGAGGGGGACAGCTTATCAGAGTGCTAATTTTGAGGGGCAGAAGAACAAGCCTCAGGCTCGGAGCGGAGCCTTTTCACATTTCGCACAAGTTGTAGCGGGCTCAGAATCCATTCTTGGCAGAAAAAAAAACACCCTGGCTGTGCTCCACTCATGCGCCCCATAGTTTGCATGGATCATGCATCCTTAATCAAGTCGAATTTAAGCCATCATGTCGCGACTGTTCTGGAGGTGGACCCTGAGAGCTCATAAGGCCAACGTAAACCCCCTTACAAGAGCTCGACAGGAATATTTCCTTGCTCGTAAGCTCAGTTCGTATGCATGTTAAGTAGTCACGAAGAGAACTGGATACGTGGCGCATCTAGAACTGAATCGTTCATCGAAGGGCATCAGGCTTATTCCCTTCCACGTTCAGGATTTCTCTCCCAGTAATGACCTTATCACTGACTCGTTTTCACCGCATCAGATCATAGGTAATGAGGTTTCCGTTGCTGAAAAAGTGATTGGGGCACTGGAACGCTAGCACTGAAGAATCGAGATGCTACAGGAAACTTGTCCCCTGCGACATGCCTTTTGAATGGATCAGCCAAGTGATAAATAATGAGAACGACAATTACTGCCTGATAAAAAGAGATATTCTTTCACCACTCTACTCGAACGGTTTCACAGCGACCTTCCATCTGTCCCACTATTTCTTTCCGACTGTAAGGAACCCATCGTGAAGAAGGGTCAAGATGTGCTTTTCATAATAAAATGCTAGGTTTCGAATGCTGTACATATAGTGCAGTTCGCTGAGGACGCTTGGACGCGTCAAGCTAGTGAGTTTGGCGCGGTGCCAACCCGGGTTACCAACAATTAGAGCGAGCAAGTGATATGACTGTATCATATCGTTCGTATTACTCGTTTTCTACCACTTTTTGTCGCATGCGCGCTTCAACAAGAAGGCAGAGAACGGCTTTGACGGCGTGACACACTCATACTGCCTGACACGCCCAACCGTCCGCAGCGAATCGCTTGGGCTCGTCAAGCCAGTTGCGTATGCATGTTAAGTAGTCCACCGACGAGCAACTGAATACGTGGCGCATCTAGCCTGCAATCGTTCATCGGAGGGCATCAGGCTTATTTCCTTCCACGTTCAGGATTTCTCTCCCAGTAATGACCTTATCACTGACTCGTTTTCACCGCATCAGATCATAGGTAATGAGGTTTCCGTTGCTGAAAAAGTGATTGGGGCACTGGAACGCTAGCACTGAAGAAATTCGAGATGCTACAGGAAACTTGTCCCCTGCGACATGCCTTTTGAATGGATCAGCCAAGTGATAAATAATGAGAACGACAATTACTGCCTGATAAAAAGAGATATTCTTTCACCACTCTACTCGAACGGTTTCACAGCGACCTTCCCTGTGTCCCACTATTTCCTTCCGGCTGTAAAGAACCCATCGTGAAGAAGGGTCAAGATGTGCTTTTCATAATAAAATGCTAGGTTTCGAATGCTGTACATATAGTGCAGTTCGCTGAGGACGCTTGGACGCGTCAAGCTAGTGAGTTTGGCGCGGTGCCAACCCGGGTTACCAAAACAATTTAGCAGAGCGAGCAAGTGATATGACTCTATCATATCGTTGGTATTACTCGTTTTCTACCACTTTTTGTCGCATGCGCGCTTCAACAAGAAGACAGAGAACGGCTCTGACTGCGTGACACACTCATACTGCCTGACACGCTCAAGCCGTGCGCAGCGAACTAGAGTGTACAATAATAAGGGGGGGGGGGGGCAGGCTGGCGTGAATATCAACATATTTTTGGAGCGTAAGGTTCATCTTTGTTTCAAATGTTAGGGATGTTTGTTTTTTCTTTGTTCGAGTCTTCTAGTTCGTACATGTCCATATTAGAGGAAAGAAGCCCAACTTCGTCCGACAAATTTTCGTGCGCGCCGTCGGTGTTGCTTCTCCGCAGCCGTGCGAATGAATTTTTTGAGGCACATTGTAACCTCAAAAAATAATGTAGTACGTTGTTTAAAGCTCTCATACTTGCCCAACTCTTCAGAGTGATTCAGAGCAGCAAATTTATCATCTCGGCCACTGAACTGAGTCCGTCCAGCCCTATAGAGTAAACACCCCTGTTTCCCCTGATCTTTTTAAAGGTGAGCTTTTTCAGCGATACGGGTTTTACGTTCACAATTGAAGCTGAGGTGTGGTGCATAACACGAAAGGAAAACCATACCGTATAAACGAGTACTCTTCGTGATGCTAGAAAACGATCCTGGATTTGAAAAATGCACCCAGGACTTGCTGAGCGGCTTCTACTTACTATCACAACAACTCCTCCTTACTTCCATGCTGAGGTCGAGAAATCTAGTCGAGAAGGAAAAACGAAGGAAAAATAATTATTCCAGTGAGCTTTGTAATTTTACAATGGAACATTGACACAGCAAGTCTTTCGTAGTCTCGTCGAACAGTT